GGTGGTGGTGGTGGTGGTGGTGGACACTCAGGGCAGGGATCACAAGGTTCTGGTGTTGGGCATGGTGGTGGTGGAGGACAAGGAGGTGGAGGTGGTGGAGGTGGGCATTCTTTTTGTTCACAAACCACAGAAATTGGTGCCGGACATGGTGGAGGTGCCGGACAAGCGGGTGCCTGACATGTTATTTTACATTCCGTTCCACAACAACAGCTACCTGCGTATGCTGTACTAGACGCATAGCATATAACCAGTGCAATCAAGCAAAAATTAAACATCTCTCTAAAACAATTTGAGAAGTAACACATTTGAGTAGTTTAATACACAAATAGACTAAATTGGAGTTATGCCATCAATGGTGATACAAAGTAGAAAAGATAATTTCTGTTTTTTTTTTCGAGCAAAAATTATGGCAAGTTTGGTTTGTATGTGCTGCCAAAATATCATTTAACATCAAGTACACGAATTTGTGCGAGATAATAAAAAGTGCTGTTAAAAACATAGAAAGAAGGAAAAAGTTAGGAAGATTTAAGTGTGGCGACAGAACTTACTTTCGCCTTCTTGCGAAGACTGAGCCGAATCAGTGCCGCAGTAGATTGATGTAACCTGCCTAATATTTTCGCTATTTATAGGGTTGCTTACAGAATCTTTTTTTTTCCGGCATTTTTTGGTTTAGTTTTAAAGGCCAGTTTGTCGTGCCGTTTCTGGAAAAAAAAAACTGGCAAAAAGAAAAACAAAAGGGAGCAGAAAGCACAGAAGAAGTTGCAGAGAACTGCTGTGGAAATGCAATGATGAGTTAACTGGTATAAAAATTTTTAAAGTTTTTTTGTGTAATAACATAATTAATTGTTTTGTTTCGTGAAAATGATTTTCTTTTTATTTTTTTATCTTTTTTTATTCTTGTTGTTGTTTTTGTTTCATTTAGTACTTTCTTACCACTTCCGTATAAAATTTACCTGTCTTTTCTTCCGAATCTTGTTGATAAAAAAAAAAAAGTAGAAGACGTCTGCAAATATGGACAAAAAAAAAAGTAGAGAGAAAACTAATTTTTATTGTTATAAATATTTGTCTGCCACTTTTTTGATCAGAAATAAAAGTAGAATAAAAACGAGTAAAAATTTTTTTGCTCTAAATTTCGCAACGCGTACAAAACAGAAGTAAATGGTATTGGAAAGGTTCAAGAGAAAGTTCTTTATTTGTTATAATTTTGTTTTCTCTGTACTTTGTGCAATCAAAATATGACTAGTATCTAAACACGGAATAAAAATCATTTTTTAAAAATTTATCAGAAAAAAAAAGCTGTTGTTGTATGAAGACACCTGAGGAGGATGGTGATAAAAAAAAAAAGCAAAAATTTTAATGTTCTAATGGTCATCAACTTTTGTGGCTACGATTACATTGCTGCTGGTTTGAATACAACTTTTACAGTTCGGTTCTGATTCCTGTAGTTTAACAGTTGATATTGGTGCTGTCGTTGGTGTTGTTGGAGTGAATAGGAAAAATGCTCTGTGGTTATGATGATGCTTTTACTAATTTTAATTTGAAAATTAAGCTTTACTAATTTGATTTGGCATTTTAAAATATACTGCAGCTTTTGAAGAGAAAAAAAAAAAAGCAGCAGACTGAAGAACATTTCATTTTGTTGACACAATTACTGCTGCTGCTCAACTGCTTTATTAATTGATTTTGATTTGTTTCTATATTCGGTAGACTTTATGCCTTTCTTTATGGCGTATTTGATCATTTTAGTAATGGTATGTGTACGTGTTTTTTGTTTACAGCAAAACCAATACATCAATCAGTTGACAAAGTGAGAAAAATAAAAAAAATAAACTTTTATTGAAATCTCATTTGTATCTATGAAGGAAAAAAAGGAGAAAAAAAATTTTAGAGGGGAGAGGGGAGAGGGGGTGGAAAGAAACCTGAATAAACTGTTTAAAATTTGAGAAAAAAATTAGAAAGTATGATATCGTTGCTGCTGCTGCTGCTGCTGCTATTACCACAGTGATTATCAGAAAATTCTAAACACTCGTAAACTGTACATTATCTGTTGTTTTTTGAATGATTCAATAAATAAAACCACTGTTTGCTGTTGTCGATTCGTGACAGTCTCTGAGTGTACCGTATCTGATTGCTGTGAAACTTAGTTTGGTTTCCGTGGATACATTTTTAAATGTTTTTTGCAACTTACCTATCATCAGTATTCACTGTACTTATAACAATTGGCCATTCTTCAGGAGTTTTTAGACTAAAAAAAAGCTGAACGTCTGTCATTATTAAGCTGTTATTGATTGTTGATAATTAGATTTTGAGCAGTACAAATTGATCAACGATAAGTTGCAGTTTCTTCAGCACTGTTACACAAAGCTTTTTTCTTGTTTTGCGTCATCGGAGACGAAGAGTGGGGCGGCTACAAATGGGTACTGTGAAAAAAATTTGGTATTAAATTAGAATGAAGTTTTTTAGCTGCAAAAAAAACAGCAAAAATGAAGGTGGTAGTAATTGTAATAATTATAACAATAATAGTAAAAATAACAATAAAAATAGCTGTAAAAAATGATAATAATAGCAGTAATGGTAATAATAATATGGGCAACTAAAATAAATGTAGAAAAAAAAAAGAGAAGGATTGTAACTGTTTTTGGTTAAAATTTTTTTCTAGTTTTACTTGAATTAACCACTGATTCTACCCAATTATTTCTGGCATTATCACAGTGTTTTTGGTTCTGTTTTAGACTGCAAAAAAAATTTCTTTTTTTTTTTTTCAAATTCCACACCTCCAAAAGAGAACAAAAAAATTAGCGAGAAAATGAGTGGAAAATAAAAAATAAAACAAATTAGTGAAGAAGAACAAATTGTAGCTTTTTACAACTATTAAAAAGTTTACAACAAATATTTTTTTGTAGTTACAGTTTAGAAAATTTTTAAAGATTTAAGGTTAGTTAAAAAAGAAGGAAACCAAATAAATTTTTTTTTTGTATGCATAATTATCCATTTGACAACTGTCAATACTGTAAAGCAAAATTTTACTAAACAGTAAAGCTTATTGTGTTGTAACCAAAAACACTATTAACATTACAGCATCAGATACCAGTTATTGAAAGCCGCTCAGATTCTTAGCTTATTATGAAACTGCTACCCTGTCATTATTGCCAGTAGCACAAAAAGTTTTTTTTCCACTTTTTTTAGAATAAATTTTTTGAAAACAGTAGATTTTTTTAGGTAACTTTCCGCTTCTTTTGTTATGATTCATTCTGTTCTTTGTCACTTTTTAATCTTAAATCACGGAAGAGTTTGAAAAATTACTTCTCCTCTTCTCTTTGTCACAAATTTGGTTCCTTCAGTCATCATTTTCAGTGTTCAAATGCTATCAAACTGTGTTGGGTTTTGGAAAGGAACAAAATTGAAACAGCAGTGCTTAAAACCTTTACTTTTTTGGGCGGTTGTTGACAGCATTAATTTAACCAGTAAATAATTGGATTTAAAAAGACATTATTTAAAAACCTGAGTGCAAAATATTTGTTAAAAATAAACAGACAAATTAACCAACTATATGAATTTTGTCTGTCTAACAAAATTAGCAGTCAAAATATAGACGGAATACCTGTCTTTCAACAAATAATAAAAATAACTGTATATAAAAAATTCAAATAGAAAAGTTGGCAAAACAGTTGCCAAAAAACTGTATGCTTAATGTAAAAGGTTTATATAAAGTTTCCATAAAGACTAAGACCAACATCTTATCCATCACAAATGTTTATCAGTTATTCTCTGGTCAATTGTGCATCTGATTTGAGGCTTAAAGGTTTGTTCAACACAGTTATATTGTTGTTTGTAAAAGCAAAAAGCAGAAAAACATAGTTTTATTTTTCTACTAAATTAACTACTTTATTTGGTTAAAATTCTTGAGAGATTAGTTTCAGATCGATAAACTACTGCTTAGTCAATCTAAATAATTTTAGAGGAATTTAATCAACAATTAAAAAGTAGAAGAGAAAGGCTGAATCATTTATTTGATAATACACAAAAAGCAAGCATTAAACAATGCACTAAGCACTAATTAAATTTTTCTTCTTTAGACTTATCTTGTTCAAGATTAAAACATAGCTTTTTTTTATTGCTGCTACTGAGCAGTACAAAATCACAGTACAAAGTTAGAGTTCAAAATTTAGTAATTATTTTAGCAGAAAAGGTAGAAAAGTAGGAACTAAATTTGAGTAAATCTGCATGTGTATTGCTGTTTGATGTTGCCAATGTTGAGACTTTGAACATCTCTCAGCACAAAATCATCGACTATTTTTCAGTGACAATAAAAGTTTTATAAAATTTTGTAAAATTAATGCTGTTCAGATTATTTGATGGTAAAAAAACAGAACTTTTAAAAGCTGATATCGGCTTTGTATATATTTTATATTTGGCTGTCCACAGAGAAGACTACAACAGTTCCGCTGTTGCAGTATACCGTGGAACAGTAATAATGATACTGAAGAATGTAAAAGAAGAAAAAAAGCTTTGCGTTTGACTTATGGGTAGGTAAATTTGTTCAAAGTCATAAAAATTTTTTACTATGTTGACTTAAAGTGACAACAATTTTTTTACGACAGACACAGAAATGAGTTGGTTTGAAAAAGTAACAACAAAAAAACAAAAAAAATTTCTTAAACAGCTTTATGACCTCAAAAAAGAAAAAAAGTTTTTCAAATAAAACTACTGAGTAACAAATCTCCAAAAAAAAAAA